TTTCTGATTTTTCTTCATACAAATTGATGTCAAAGGATTTGTTTTCTAGTTGGCTAATCCATTCTTCAGTCAGTGCATTTCTACTCTTTTGTCTTTCCAATATGTTATCTATTTCCACAATATTAGTGTTAAACTGGATTTCTAATTGCTATTTTCATATGATTTCTAATTGTCTATTTATTTCTAATTGTCTATTTATTTCATCATTTGTTTTTATATTGCTTTCTTGAATTCTTCTAGGGTATTGTCTGTTTCTTTCCTTGATTTTATTTGTGGTTTTCTTGAGTTCTTGGAAGGCTCTCTCTATTATTTTATTTCCTTATCAGGTAGTTACATTATCTATTCTTCCTCAGGGAGGGTTTGTAGTTCTTTATTTTGGTCACTTGCTTGCACTATATTGTCCTGTTTCTTTGTTTGAATTGAAGTTGTCTATTGTCTCTGAAGCATTTTGTAGTTGTTCTTATTTGCTGATTATGTATTGGTTTGTTTCACCTTGATTTTTTTATATTTATTTATGGGCTTTTTTTCCCCTCTTAATTGTGATTTGTGTGAAAGTTTACCAAGCAAATTTGTTTTCTATTCTACAATCGATATACATTCTATTTTGTGATGTTTACTGCAGTCCCCATACTGTAACAGCATTCATCCCACTCCCTCCCTACACCCACCCCTTCCCTTCTTTCTTTCTTCCTATCCATTTCCACCTTCCTAGTTCTATCCCTGAGCAAATGCTATCATCTTGTTTGATTGTTGTAATGAGTGCATATCCTCCTGATATTACTGTTCACATTATAGGTCTGTCAATCATTTGGCTGCCAGTTGATTCACAGGGATTGAATTCAGTTTCTAGTTCCTAGCTTGAAGGGTGTCTAAAGCCATAGTCCCAGGGGTACCACCAGTCATCATTAGACTGGTACACCTGGTCTTTTTTTTGTTTTATGATTTTGAGTCTGTTCCACATTTTCTCTTACTCTATCTGGGACCTCTTACTGTGATACCCTTCAGAGTGGTCAGGAGTTCTGGTCTCAGGGTCAAGAAGGCTGGGGTTCATGTGTACCATTAGTCCTATGGACTAATTTTTCTTGTGTCTTGATTTTCTTCACTCTTTGTTCCAGATGGAGAGAGACCAATAAATGCATCTTATATAGCCACTAGCTTTTTAGACCCCAGTCTTTAAAACATCAAAGCAGGGTGTAGAACATTGTCTTTGTGAACTATGTTATACCAATTCACCTTAGTGTCCCCTGAGACTATAATAGTATTACTTGGTTTTTATATGTCCAGGCAGGTGGGGCAGGCATGTTTCTTTGACTACTAGTTTGGGAGCACTTGGCTACTCTCTGCCTATCTCTGGGTGGGTGGAGTAACTGGTAGAAATATGGGCACAGGCCTCTGTTTGTTGGCCATGAAGAGAAGCTGAGGGTAGGAAGAGCAAGTAATGTCCACTATTTGTCATTGACCCATTGGTGCAGGAACAAGTGGTGGTGCTTGCTTATTGAAGTGGTAGATGGTAGATGTAGTGGGAATGGCTGGATAGGGAGTAATTAATGTCTGCCTCTCATTGGATGGATCAGGGAAAAAAAGAAGAAAAAAATTAAAAAAGGGGAGTGGATGAAAGAGGCATAAAAATAGAAGAAGAGGAAGAGGTAGAAATAAACAAATACAAAGGAAGAAAAAGTGGAAAAAAGAAAAGGGAAGAAGAGAAAAACAGGAGGTGGAAGGACTGGTGCAGTTATGGTTAGCTGGCAGCAGTGGCAATGGGGTTATGACACAATTCATGGAAGCCTGTTCCCTCAGAAACTGTGGGAGTGTGGCATGTGCAAGCACCTCTGACAGAGGAGGCCACAGTGACAAGCACCTTGTGTTTAGTGGGAAGAAGAACTGTCAATAATACAGGCACAGGGAGGTAGAGCCACAGACAGAGGCTCTGTCAGCTTGGGGCATGGTACAATGGGTGGCTTGGCTGCTAGTGTAAAGAGGTGATCCAAGGAGCTGGACAGGTCGTAAGGCAGCAAGGGGGCTGTGCCTAGCTCTAGCTTGGTGGGAGTGTGAAGGGTGTTACCCCTTGTCACCAAGAATGTGTGGTTAGGGAAGCAGTGAATGCTTCTTTGGTCACAATTTACTGCCGTGGACCTGGTACATTTCTAGTCACACACAGCCATTTATCCAGTTCTTGCTCTGACTCTTGGTTGAGGGGTCTCCAGGAATCCAGAGTCTCCAACTACTACTCCCCAGTCCTTCTGCTTTGTGAGGGCCCTCAGCCCAAAATCTAGTGTTTACTAATAGTGAGTTGTTTCATCTCCCTTTTCTTGCTCCCTCACTCTGTGGTTATATATGCCACTGGAAATGTCACTCGTTTCCTTGTACTTTCCTCTTCTAGATCCAGCACATATTCTGCCCATCTTGATTCCCTCTAGATCTGTCCACAATGCGTCTCTGTCTCCGTGTGGATTCCATGAAATCGGTTTGTCTTTGCCCGTGTATGATGACTTCTGTGTCTCTAAACAACCATGCTTTGCATGGCCCTGGCTTCTCTCTCCCCAGACCCTGTCTTCACTCTGTCTCCTTTTCTAGTCAGCACTGAGTCTAATTCTTTATCCTCTCATGTGATGCTCAAAGTTCCAGTATTATTGTCTCTATCTCTTTCACTCATTTTTTATGATTTTCTGTTGTGCAGGGATTGAGTAGAGTGTGTCACCAGGATGCCATCTTATCTCCAGCTCTGAAAGAGGAATTTCTGATAGATGATAAAATATGGAAGCTGATATAGAGAATTGATTAAAAAATTTTACTGTATGAAAAGTGAGAAGTATCACAAACCAAAAGTGTTTAAAGGCGGATAAAAACCGAAACTTGTGTGAAATTCCCATCAGCATATATAAGTATACTTTAGTTTTTGTGGTAGTTATGTTTGTGGCTGGGCCTGGTTGAGTGGCTGGGCAGCTGGTGGTAGTTATTCCCCATGATAAGACTGACAATCATCTCCATGGTGGGATTACCACAAGCAGCTGAGTAGCTGCTTTGGGTATGTGGTCTGCTTCCCATATATAAGAAGCAGCTTTGGGAATGGTCTCTAGCTTATGGCCTGCTTGGATCCTGCATGTAGCCATGTTGTTGTTCAGCAGCCTGCCATGATCTGCTGACCTGGGGACTTACAGTGGACTTAAATTAATGGCCTGCCGTGTGATTTGGTAACATTGGGACTGTGCCTTTTTACTTGTCAACCTTGGATTTGTAAGCCTCATTAGCCAGTAACTGTCTGAGTGAAGAAATGCCTCTAACTCCAGTGGGCAGGGAACAGGAGGCATAGCTGAAGTCCAAGGCTGAGGGGCTTTCACCCAGCCCTAGAGCCTGGCACTTTGAACTTGGACTTAAAGCCTCCAAACTGTAAGAGAATAAACTCCTTTTCTGGTATATTCCTGTCAGACCACCACTAGGTAACCAGAACAGTTATATAACCCAGTTAAAATTGTCTTTGAAAACTTAATTTAGCTTTGCTTTAGTTATATCTATAATATTAACATGCTAAATTTAAGACTGTGTGTATAACTGGATCATTAGAAAAATGTATGCAATTTTGAACAATGTCATTTAATTTTACTAAGAGATATTAGTGTTTAGATAAATCTGCTACCCCTAAATAAAATTGTGTGTTATTTCAGTGCATAATATTGTAATGAATTTTCATAGTTATGATTTTCCAAAGTCATTATTAATGGGATTACTTTGCTCTGTTTGCTTGCTTGTTTTTAGAGTTGTGTAAATGCAGTATGAGAAAGATACTGAGATTTGGGGATCATAAAATGTGCCTCAAAAATTTTAATCTATAACTCTAGATAAAGTAAAACACGATTGCAAGAGCATTTGAGAAATTAATTTCAGGGTCAATATAGCTAGCAAAGGAGTTGGGGGAAAGACAGAGAAAAAGAGAAGAAAGGAAGAGAAATCAATCCAAGTTTGCCTGTACATACCAAAAAGGTCAAAATTTTAAGAATTATGTGCAAAAGATGGATAATCAACATATTTTTAAAAACCTTCTTAAATTCTGGGCTTAAAACAGGAATGTAGTTCTGGCATTAACAATTGGCATATCCTAATTTCCACTTCTAAATGCTGTTTTTCATTACTTAAAAAAAATAACTTTATGCATTATCTGTCAAGGTGTTTAAAAAAAAAAAAAAAAAACCTACAATAAACAACTTAGAGGGGATATGAGAATCAAAAATTGATTTATTTACTAAACTGCCCAATGCCATCAAAACTAGATTTCCCCTAACAAATCGGCAAAATGAACCAATTTTATAGGAAGAAAAACTATGGCTGCCCATTGAGCCTGAAATATGAGAACAGCTTTTCCCTTGAGCTACCAACAGTCAAACTGGGTCAGATTTTTTTTTTCTTAATTCTTGCATTTGCTTCTTATGAGTCTATATCTTTCTGTTCAGTTTAGTAATTGATCCACAGCTTTACTCTAGAGTGCAGTTCTCTTTGATATTCTTCTCCTTTTCTACATAGTGATTTTAATGTTATTTAATCTAGTCTTTCCCACATTTTACAAGGATTAAATTAGGAATTCTTGGCATTTAAGGCTCCTGCAATAATTATAGAGCAGTTATTATTTATCCATGGAGCCCCTGATTAAATGCTCAGCTACTAACTGCAAGGTCAGCTGTTTGAACGCACCAGCCACTCTGCAGGAGAAAGATGTGGCAATCTGTTTCCATATAGATATATACCTTGTAAATTTGCACCCAAAGCACTATTTAAAAAAAATAAAAAATGTATACCATCAGAAACCCTATGGGGGTAGTTGTACTCTCTCCTACAGGGTTACCATGAATCAGAATCAACTCAACAGCAGCATTTGTAACTTGGTTTCAAGAGTTGATACAATTCCTAACATTTTACAAAGGAATAGAAAATGATTTCTGAGTTTCACAAATGAAGAGGTAGAGGCCTAGCATTTTCATTGTGTTTCTCTTGTTCTCATCTCTTTGAAGACATGTGGTCCGCTGTGGGCACAGCAGTGTGGAAATCAGTATTACACCACTGGAGTTTGTTCTGAGGTCAGTCCCGATTTTCAGCACTTGGCCAGCTTTTCACCTGCAGTTCAGAGTAAGTAACGGATACACAGAGGGTCTGAGTAATGTCTTATAGTTAAAAGGAGGGGGAAACATTATTACATATCCAACTTCTCAACTCCATTTTACTGGAAGTCTCATTTTTATACGGTCATGAAGTTTGACTTGGAGTCCTGGGTGGTACAAAGGGTTAAGTGTACAACTGCTAATAGAAAGGTTGGCAGTATGGTTCATCCAGTGGTAACTCGAAAGAAAGGCTTGGTGAGCTACTTCTGAGAAATCGGTCATTGAACATCCTTCAGAGTACGGTTCTACTCTGACACACATGAGGTCACATTGAGTTAGAATCAACAAGAGCAACTCGTTTAGTTTGGTTTAAAGTTGGACTTACCTATGGAAATCTCTCTCTCTCTCATCTTTTCCTATGTAGCCTGTCCTTCCCTCATAGATGTTGTGGTTGTATGTGATGAATCCAACAGTATTTATCCATGGGATGCAGTCAAGAATTTTTTAGAAAAATTTGTACAAGGCTTGGATATAGGCCCCACAAAGACACAGGTATGGATATCAATAATGTATACACTACTTCACGACTGTTATTCTGAGAAACTATTATTACATTTGAAGTCTTAATTTTTATGTGTATCAAATCTCAATATTAATTCCATTGAAGGGAAACTTGTAAGTTGATTGAAACGTCTACATATGACTTTGCCCAATGCTGGTCTTTTGAGCTTGGATTTCTATTTCTGACATAGCCATCAAGGACATGGGATATGACACCTTAATTTTCTTTTAATTGCTGATTTTCCTCCTCTAGCCCATGAAAATATCAATACATTTTAAAATTCAATATATATATTTTCTTTATGTCCATTTGTACTAATAATGAATTCCTTTTGTTTACTCCTTGCTGGTAAAAATATTGTACTTCGGTTATGAGATTTTTATAAATAAGTCCATATGTGTGTTGTTGTTGTTGTTATGTGCCGTCGAGTCGGACCCGACTCATAGCGACCCCTCCTTAGGTTTCTGAAGCAGTATCACTACCGAAGTAGATTGCCCAACCTTCCTTCCAAGGTGTGGCTGGTGGGTTTGAACTGCCAGCCTTCTGGCTAGCAGTGTCAATATACCATTTATTATTTTATAGTCTTCTATCATATTCTATTCTAGCTGCTATGTCTTTTCAATAATTTTGTATGGCTCCCTATATTTGAAGAAGTCTTTAATCTACTTTTATACCTTCTTGAAGTAAGCAACCACAACACAGGAGCAAATGCTTCATGCTTCTGTAAGAAGACTGCATTTTGTTGCTGTGGCTATTAGGTGCCAGTGGGCTGGTTCTGACTCACAGCGACCCTATGTACAGCAGAGTAAACACTGCTCTGTCCTGCACCACCCTCACAGTTGTTGCTGTGCTTGAGCCCACTATGTCAGTCAGCCCATTTTGTTGAGGATTTTCCCTTTATCGCTGACCCTCTGCTTTACTGAATAGCATATGTTAAAAATTTTGTTTCTTTGTTTTATCCTTTTTGATTGTACCTGCCATTTCATGCATCATTCTGGTTGTAGTATATTGCGCCAATACCAAAAGAGACCAGTTCCCAGAGTTCCCAGTTTATGTTCCGAATTACAGCTGATGCTTCAACATCCAATGTACAGTCAGTTGTCATTGTTGGACAGTTTTTCCCTAAATGCTTTGTAGTTGCCTATATTGGCATTTGCTTTTCCACTTTCTTATACAGTATTATAAAATATTGTTCATTTTTTTCCAATTGACATTGCTTTTCAATACCAAGAGGACATTAATGTTCACTTAAACTTTGAAAGTTTCACTATGGGCTTTTAAGAGAAAATTTGGTTAAATAAGAGGGGGCCTAACACTGATTTCTGAAGAGCACCAAGGTTAAAGGCCCCTCGTGAGAGAAGTTCTCATATGTACCTGCTTCTCTGTAAATGGTCTGCTCCCATAATGTAACTTATTTGATTTAATAATCTCTGATATGGAATGTATACCTTCCTGTTCTGTGTGACATTACTCCAATGTATCTTATTCCTCTCTAAAGTGGTTAAACTCAGTGTCTTTTCTTACAACCTAAATTTAACCTCTTTGTAAGTCTCAATACACTGTGTTTGTGTAAGTCATCTTTCAGCCTTCCCATTTTCTCACACAAAAGTTCTGTGCCATGGAAGTTACTACAATCTTCCCATCATTAGACATTGAAATGTTCAGGGTAACTTTGGACCTTTTCCTCCCTCTCAAGTCTCAGGTCCTATCCTAAAAAGAGGGGCTCAGAAATATATTTACTGCCCTCTTCTCAGTTCCTAGCTAACTGCTTACCTTAAAAAAAAAAAAAAAAAAATTGAACTCAGAAATCCAGGCCTTGCCCTATCCATCTTTCTGACACACTGACCCCTGTTTCAGAGATGCTCGTACCACTGATGTCTTATTACCATTACCTCTTCTGGAAACACCATTTCCTAGGCTGAGAGAATGATTTCAGTGCCTGAGAATGCTGACATTAACAGAAGGCTATGACCTTATAAAGATCTGCTGTTTGAATGAAGTTTTCTTTTTCCTTGGCAACTTAAAGCTTCCCTTCTTGATCTAAAAGTATTAGAAAATGTCTTCAGGCATCTTCTTGAGAAGTCATTCTGTCTCTCAAATAAGACTTTCTCTCTAAGGCACATTCTCTGAAAGCCAGAAATGCTCTAGCCTACATTCGCAAATAGCAACTTTCCTCCAGAGGTACTGAAACCCGTAATTAGAGGACATCCAGCACTACAATTAGGTCTAAATTTGTTGCATTATTAGGAGCATATTGATTTTTCTCATATTCAGCTTGACTCTTTAATTTATTATGTAATTATACTCATTACCTACCATCCCTGACTGCTTGTAATTGTTTAGAAGCTTATATTCACTTTTAAGAAAAATTATTTATGTCATTTTAATCTTCTTGTTATGAACCTTGTTTTAATATCCATTCATATTAAAATAGAGCATATCTTAAAAGTGTATAATTATTAATCTTGAGGAGCAAAATGTAAGCCTTCCTTTGCAATGAATACTGCTGTTGTATACTAATGCCTCTAACAAAGAAGCAGCTAGTTCATGGAAAGAAAAATAACTCTTCTTAAGAACAAAATTGAAAGTAATTCTCTTCAGCTATCATGCCAATGTACTCTTGATTTTTTATTATATTGGTTACATTTAAATCATTTATAACTTAATGACATCCCAGTAATAAATTCTTGGTTTTTTGAAGGTGGGGTTAATTCAATATGGCAATGATCCAAGAGTTGTATTTAACTTGAATACTTATAAAACCAAAGCTGAAATGATTGAAGCAACATCCCGCACGTACCAACATGGTGGGACACTCACAAATACATTCAAAGCAATACAATATGCAAGGTAAGTGGTAATGCTAATAGGCCAATACCGTGATGAGATTAAATTAAAAAAAATTAAAAACTCAGTGCCAACTCATAGCAACTCGAATTGGGTTTCCAGGTCTGTAAATCTTTACAGAAGCAGACTGCCTCATCTTCCTTTCACAGAGCAGCTGGTGGATTTGAACCACTGACCTTTTGGTTAACAGCCAACTGCCTTAACCACTACACCACCAGAGTTCCAATTGTGATAAGATAGAAGAACTTATGTGTAAGTAAAAGGAGAGAAAAGACAAATAAAAATAATATAACTGATGCTTATACTCAAATCAGAACAAATAAAGAAAGCCTGAGCATTATATGACTTGAACACTTTGGGAAGGCAGTTTGGAAACGTAAATTAAAAAATCTTGGATTTCTAGGATCTTTTAAGATACATGATTTTTCTAATATTTTACATTAAGTAAATGAAGTTAGAAGAGCTTAGGTTAACACAGTGTTGTTATGTGCCATTGAGTTGGCCCTGACTGATAGTGACCCCTCCTTGAGTTTCCAAGGCAGTATCACTATGGAAGTAGATTGCCCAACCTTCCTTCGGAGGAGTGGCTGGTGGGTTTGAACCACCAGCCTTCTGGTTACCAGTCAAATGCCTTAGGCACTATGCTACCAGAGGTCCCTAGGTTAACACAGTAGGAAAAGGAATTATCTATAATGACATGTTAATATCTATCATGGCTACATGCTTGGTAGGGTGGAGGGTCGACGAAAGAGAGGGAGGCTTTCAAGGAGATGGATTGATACGGTGGCTGCAATGATGGGCTCAAGTATAGCAGGGATTGTGGGGCTGGCGCGGGATCGGGCAGTGTTTCGTTCTGCTGTGCATGGGGTTGCTATGAGTCGGAAACGACTCGACGGCACTTAACAACAACAACAGCAACAACAATCATGGCTACAAACAACTTGAGCTAATGAAGCACTTCATGTGAACTGCCAAGGACCGCGGTACCATAACACTAATAATGTGGGTCTGAATTGAAGTTCCAGGGGTTTACCATACTTACTACAATCTTTGGGGAGTGTGGATTTTATGACTATATAGCCCTGCTGTAATTCTTTACCCAGTTTCTCCATTTTCTTTATTGCACTGACCTTCATCTTCATTCTGCTTTAACCAGTTACCTTCTAAAAAATGCTGATCACTCTCCTGTTGTTAGAAAATAATGAGAACAGTAAGCTCATCTTTTCTTAAACATATTCTTGCAGTTTTTCATCTTACTGTGTGTTCCTTCTTTCCACTACTATAATTCCTTAAAAGAAGTGTTTATACTCCTTCCACTTACTCGAAACATATGGCAATGCCACTTAAAATGTCCTGTTAGAGATAAACATGGCCCTCTTAACCACCCAACTTTATGGTCCTGTCATCTTGTCCTCTAGCTTTTCTGAAGATTTGATGATGATGAATACAGTGCTCTTCCCAAACCAGGTGTCATGACACTGAAAACTTCTGGAATCAGTGCCAACTCCTTGTCCACAATTTTTGCCTCTTCACTGGCTCCTCTTCATATATTTTCTTCACTAAACGGAGTACTTCCCAAACATCTGTCTCAGCCCTCTTTTCTTTGTAGGCCTTCTCTCTTAGGAATTATATCCACTCTCATAGCATTAACTATTACCCCATGAGGGTTACCCTGTAGCTCTGTCATCAACCTGAATGCACTCCCAAAAGCTACACAGGCATCTAGCTGATTCATAAAGATGAACGTCTTTATTTAGAATATTGCCTCACTTATCAAAGTCAATATACCCCAAACTGGCCTTAATTCTTTTTCCTACCCCTCCTCATGAGTTTGCCATTTTGATTCATGCTATGCTTTGCTACCTCAGTCATGCAGACTGAAAATTGGATGATTTTCTTTATTCCTTCTTAGATCACACATCTGGTCAGCCACCACATCCTGACATTTCTATTTCTGTCATTCCTCTTATAGCTGCCCCTTCTTTTCTTCTGCATGTATTTTAGTTGCCTCTTCTATTACTAACTGATGATTCTCTCAGCATATGTCTCAATAACAGATTATTCGTGAGACAGGCTGTGATGATTTGATTAATCCACATTGTCCCTGTTTCAAGCCAGGCCAACATATAGCTGCTGGCCAGTCAATAGTTCACTGCAATTGGATAAAGTGCCCTTTCTTGGTCTAGTAAACTGGACTCAGGGAAAGGTTAAGTTGAGAGGGAAAATAGCTTCCCAGTTGTTAGAAATTGCTGAGGCCTCATCTCGATAAAGAATATGACTATGGCATTGTTTTCTCCTAGAAGGAGATTGGCAAGCTTTCTTTTCCAGGGTAAAGGTCACTGTTTTGGTGGAATTTCTATGACTTAAATAATCTTTTTCAGGAACTCTCTTAGTGCATTGGTTCAGTGCTAGACTGGTAACCAGAATGTCAGCAGTTTGAAACCACCAGCTGCTCTGTGAGATAAAGGTCTGCTTCTGTGACAGTCTGCTTCTATTAAGACTTGCACAGTTGGAAACCCTCTGGGGCAGTTCTTTGTTTTTGTTGTTATGTGCCATCAAGTCAGACTTGACTCATAGCGACCCTCCTTGGGTTTCCAAGGCAATATCACTATGGAAGTAGACTGCCCCATCTTCCTTCCGAGGGCAGTTCTACTCTCTCCTATATGGTCACAATGAGTTAGTATTGACTCAAGGGCACACAACAACAGCCATCTTTTCAAATCGTAGACTTTTCTCTCTTGTGCCGTTATCTCCTTCTTACCACCATTTCACAAACTAAAGAGATTTATTCCTTCCATTAATAGAGAATCACTCAACTTTTTACTCACCCCTCGCAGAACTTAATTTCCTCTATTATTTTTGTCTGTTTATGTCCAAAATCTAATAGAATTCTAATATGATGCTCTTTCAGTAAATACTGCCATGCTCCTATTCACTTTATTTCATGGAATACCTACCATTTGCAATTTATTTTTCCAAGCACTGCAGGTAATCAAAAATAAAAGAAATATAATTTCTGCCCTCAAAACATTATTATCATGAAGGTGATCAAACATGTCATAAAGAATATACTTCACTGATAAATAGGTGATATGAGTACTATAATTCAAATTTGCCTTGCTGACAAATATTGATTATTCTCTACATTACTATTTTATACAATACATAAAATAGGAAAAGTTTAGGAAATAAAATGATGTGCTTAGTTTAAGACATGGTGAATTTTTAGTGCTTCTAATACATTTAAGTGGAAATATTCAGCAAACATTGAATATATAAATTTGAAGATAGAAAATATGAAGATACGGACTATAAAGTATCATCATATACATGGTAGTTAATTTGAAGAGTGTGTGAAATTGCCCAGAAAGAAAGTGTAGCAGGAGAATCCAATAGATAGAGAAAAAATAAAAGTTATAAAAGTTGTTGGACAACTGACTAACTAGGAAAAAGCTGAATCTCTGCCTTGCTTCTTGCACCAAAATAAATTTCAGCTCAATCAAAGGTTTAAATCAGAGAAACTGTTAAGGTAGTGGGAGAAAATATAGTGATTAAAAAAAAAGTTATAAAGATGAGGAATCCCTTTAAAATATCACACCAAATATAAAAGATGAAAAAAGAGGGTGATAACTTTGATTATATCAAAATATAAATCTTCTGTACAGGCATAATACCATGAAAAAGAAAAAAAATATGATTAATTAATAGAGGAAATTATGTGCAATATATATGAAAAAGTTTAATTTATTAATAAAGTAATCTTACTAATCATTAAGAAAATGTTGAACAACAAAGAAAATTGGGCAAAGATATAGGAAAATGAAGAGTTCATACAAAAATGCAAATGGCTAATATATTTAAATGCTCATTTCTTCAAAATGCAAACATCCATTAGTAATCAGAATGTAGGATGTGCAGGGTATGAATCAAGGAAACTTGGAGGTTGTCAAAAATGAAATCAAACATATAAAGATCAATAATCGTCAGCTTTCTGGTTAGCAGTCAAATGCCTTAGGCACCATTCTACCAGAGCTCCCATTCTAGGCATTAGTGAGCTGAAATTGACTGGTATTGATTGGTATGATTTTGAATCAGACAATCATATGGTCTACTAGACTGGGAATGACAAGTTGAAGAGGAAGGTCATCACATCCATTGTAAAAAAAGAAAAAAAAATCCAACTCTATCTTGACTTACAACACTGTCAGTGACAGGCTAAAATCTACACACCTACAATAAAGACCAATTAATAAAAAATCATTTAAATTTACACACCAACCACTAATGCCAAACATGAAGAAACTGAGGATTTTTACCAACTTCTGCAGTCTGAAATTGATTAAATGTACAATCAAGATGCATTGATAATTACTGGTGATTGGAATGCAACGTTTAGCATCAAAGATGAAGGATTAGTATTTGGAAAATATGGCCTAGGTGTTAGAAGTGACATCAGAGATTGCATGATAGAATTTTGCAAGACCAGCTATTCACTGGGAATACCTTTTTTCATCAACATAAACAACAATACATGTGTACCTCACCAGATGTAATACACAGGAATTAAATTGACAATATTTATGGAAAGAGATGATGAAGAAGCTCAACACAATCAGTCAGAACAAGATCGTGGGCCAACTTTAGAATAGACCACCAATTGCTCTTATGCCATAAGTTCCACTTGTGGGTGAAGAAAATTAAAACAAGTCTCCAATAGCCAAATTACAATCTTGATTATCCCACCTGAATTTCAAGACCATCTCAAGAATGGATTTGAGTCGTTGAACAATAATGACCAAAGACCAGATGACTTGTGGGATGACATTAAAGACATCATACAAGAATAAAGCAAAAGGTCATTAAAAAGACAGGAAAGAAAGAAAAGACCAAAATGGATGTCAGCAGTGACTCTGAAACTTCTCCTTGAATGTACAGTAGTTAAAGCAAACAGAAGAAATGATAAAATGAAAGAGCTGAACAGAAGATTTCAAAGGGCAACTTGGGAAGACAAAGTAAAGTATTATAATGAAATGGTCAGAGATCTGGAGTTAGAAAACCAGGTATGCTCAGCATATCTCAAGGTGACAAACTGATGATAAATTCAGGCCTTCGGTTGCAATATTGAAGGATTCCATGGGCAATATCTTGAAGGATGCAAGAAGCATCAAAAGGAAGTAGAAGGAATACAGAATCACTGTACCAAAATTCAACCATTTCAGGAGGTAACATGATCAAGAGTTGATGGTGTTGAAGGAAGAAATCTAAGCTGCACTGAAGGAATTGATGAAAAATAAGGCTCCAGGAATTGATGGACTACCAATTGATATGTTTCAACAAAAGGATGAAGTGCTAGAAGTGCTCAATTATCTATGCCAAGAAAATTGGAAGACAGCTACCTAGCCAACCAATTGGAAGAGATCCATATTTGTGAAAATGCCAAAGAAAAGTTATGCAAAAGAATGCAGAAATTATCAAACAGTATCATCAATATTACACACAAGTAAAATCTTACTGAAGAAAATTTAAAAACCATTGCAGCAGTACATCAAAAGAAAACTGCCAGAAATTCCAGCTTGATTCAGAAGAGGACATGGAATGAGGAATATCATTGCTGATGTCAGATGGATCTTGACTGAAAGCAAAGAATACCAGAAAGATGTTTACTTATGTTTTATTGACTAGGCAAAAGCATTCTGCTATGTGGATCATAACAAATTATGGATAACATTGAAAAAAATGGGAATTACAGAACACTTAATTGTACTCATGAGGAACATGTACATAGACCAGGAGGCTGTTGTTTGAACAGAACAAGGGGACACTGCATGGTTTAAAATCAAGAAGAGAGTGTACCAGGGTTGTATCCTTTCACCATACTTATTCAATCTTTATGCTGAGCAAATATTCTGTTAAAGTGGACTATATGAAGAAGAATGCAGCATCAGGATTGGAGGAAGACTCATTAACAACCTGTGATATGCAGATGACACAACCTTGCTAGCTAGAAGTAAAGATAATTTGAAGCATTTACTGATGAAGATCACAGCCTTCAGTGTGGATTACACCTCAACATAAAGAAAATGAAAATCCTAGCAAATGGACCAATAAGTAATATCATTATAAATGAAGAAAAGTTCAAAGTTGTGAAGAATTTCATTTTACTTGGATTCACAATCAACACCCACAGAAGCAGCAGTTAAGAAATCAAATAATGTATTACATTGGACAAATCTCCTGCAAAAGACATTTTGAAAGGGTTAAAAAGCAAAGATGTCACCTTGAGGACTAAGGCACACCTAACCCAAGCCATGGTATTTTCCATACACATGCAAAAGCTGTACTGAATGAGGAAAACAGAATTGATTCCTTTGAATTATAGTGTTGGTAAAGAATATTTACTATAGCTTAGATTGCCAGACAAATGAATAAATTTTTCCTGAAGTGTAGCCAGAATGCTCCTTAGACCCAAGGATGATGAGACTTTTTCTCACATAATTTGGACATATTATCAGAGGGAACCAGTCCCTAGAGAAAGACATCATATTTGGTAAAGTACAGGGTCAGCGATAAAAAGGAAGACCTTCAATGAGATGGACTGACACAGTGACTGCAACAATGGGTTCGAAGATAGCACCAACTGTGAATATGGTGCAGGACCACAGTGTTTATTTCTATTGTATGGAAGTTCACTATGAGTCAGAACCAACTCAATGGCACCTAACAACAACAACAATGAAGTCAATAGTTTGCATTAGAATTCACTGTTTGTGTTGTACAATTCTGTGGGTTTTGACAGATTCATAATGTCATGTATCTACCAATAAGTATCAGACAGAATAAATTTACTACCTTAACAATCCCATGTTCCACGTATTCATCCTTCCTTCCAGCTCTTGAACCGCTGACAATCACTGATCTTTTTACTGTTTGTGGTTTTACTTTTTCCAGAATGTCATATATAGTTGAAATCATGTAGTACATGTAGTCTTTGAGATGGGCTTTTTTCATATAGCAATAAGCATTTAAAGTTCCTCCATGTCTTTTAATGGCTTGATACTCCTTTCTTTTTAACATTGATTAGTATTCTGTTATATGGGTGTACCATAGTTTGTTTATCCATCCATCTGTTGAAGAATATTTTGGTTGCTTCCAAGTTTTTGCAATTATGAATAAATCTGCTTTAAATATTTATATGCTGATTTTTGTGTGGACATAAGTTTTCAACTCATTGAGTAAATACCTAGGAGCAAGTTTAGTGGATTGTGAAATTAGATTATGCTTAGTTTTGTAAGAAGCTTCCAAACTGTTTTCTAAGTACCTTGGCTTCAATTTTTTGTTTTATAACTTCTCAAATTTTTTGAATATTGTTTACTATGTATATCTATATTCCTTTAAAATAAATACATTTAAAAAAATAAGTATAGGCCCAATGAGAAAAATTTATTATAAGAGCATTTTTGCTTTTGCTTTGTACTAATGAACTTAATTTTCTTATCAGAAGGTAATTTTAAAGATGCCTGGTATAAATTCACACACACATTATGAAAGCCATAGCAATTATTTTTAATGCCAGGCAAGATTTATGTTTTTATAAATTTTTCAACAAGTTACAGTTAAAGCATACCTAGGTGTGTCACCAGAATTGACATGGATATAAATAACAGCAGATTGTTCTGAAAGAAACTACTTTCGTATAGACATTTCAAATGAGATGTTCACCTATTAACGTCATCTTTCGATAGTGAACCTTGATTTTCATCTCCACAGAGATTTTGCTTATTCAGCAGCGGCTGGCGGACGCCCAAGTGCTACCAAAGTAATGGTGGTTGTCACTGATGGTGAATCACACGATGGTTCAATGTTGAAAACAGTAATTGATCAATGCAACAATGACAATATACTGAGATTTGGCATAGCAGTAAGTGGCTTTCCTTTTTAGTCGCCTTTTGATTCATGGACAAATGTTCCTTTATAGCATCCCTCTCCAAGGCTGCACTTTCTCCTTGACTTTTCATAGTTTCATATAAAAGAAGGTTGTTACTCTGCTCCTTGCTGATTTTCAATCCTATAGAGAATGGGGAAATACATGTTGCTAGATTTACTTCTCCAGAGAGCCTGTTGTGTTCAGAAATAGAGCAGAAAGTATGAATAGGGAAATTGGAATACAGGAGTAATGACCTTATTTTCCTCTTCCTCTATTTTCAAGGTTCTTGGATACTTAAACAGAAATGCCCTTGATACTAAAAATTTAATAAAAGAAATAAAAGCAATTGCCAGTGTTCCAACAGAAAGATACTTTTTCAATGTGTCTGATGAAGCAGCTCTACTAGAAAAGGCTGGGACATTAGGAGAACAAATTTTCAGCATTGAAGGTAAAAAAAGAAAAAAAAAGAAAAGCTTTGCTTTTAAGAATTTTTCTCCCCTCATTTTTTTTCTTTTATTATTACATACTTGCTCTATTAATGTTATCTTATATGTCCTGAATTTAAAAAAAAAAAAAAAAGCTACAAATTTGTAAGAAAACAGGGCAGGGAACAAAATTCAAATGGCCAGTAAACATAAGAAAATATTCCCAATTTTAGTAATTATTCAAAAATACAAAGTAAAGCAGTATCATGTTTTTACCCAAAAGATGGCAAAGATGAAAGTGCCTAAATCTTAGAGGGATTATGTAGAAGTAGCAGCTCATGCACTATTAATAAGATTATAAATTGTTGCTACTTTTTTGGGGGACAACTTATAATAACTATAGAGAGTTTTACCTTTTCACACATTGTTACATAATTTCTGAAATTCTTGAATTTGTTTACAACAAACATACTTTTAAAATTGGATCATGAAGTCTTTGAGGAAAATTTTATCTAGCAGACTTACAATAATGTTACATATGTGGCGTAGGTAGGTCTAGTCAGTGTAGAAACATCACATTTTCTGGAGTTTACTTATGTAAACATCTCCATGTGACCCAAATCCTGCTTTCTGGTGGTTAACCCAAAAGGCTTGCACCAATAAGGAGTGTGTATTTATTGAGCACCTGCTACGTGTCAGGCACTGCCTCAGAAGCTGGGTCCGAGGGGATTAAACAAATTGAATGGGGAGTATTCATTCCTATAGTCAAATCTTGATCTTCTGATTGTCCACTGGAAAGTTATTTCCATGACATGTATTTATTGCTTCTTTACCATTCCAGAATGCTTCTGAATTATTTGAATCATCATCAAAATCTAATGTGTCCTTAAACGACAAAAACTCATTGTCACCAAGTTAATTCCGATTAATGGTGACCCTATAGAGTAGAACTGCCCATGGGGTTTCCAAGGCTGTAATCTTTATGAAGCTGTAATCTTTATGGCTATAATCTTTAAGGAGCTCTAACTGCAGTGCCTAATGCATTTGACTGCTAATCAGAAGGTTGATAGTTCAAATGCACCAGCCACTCCATGGAAGGAAGATGGGCCAATCTTATTTGTGTAAAGATTTACCACCTCAGAAACCCAATGGGAGTGGCTATGAGTTGGAGGTGACTTGATGGCAGTGAGTTTGTTTATTTGTTTTAATCTTTATGGAAGCAGACTGCCATGCTTCTCCTGTGGAGCTGCGGGTATATTTGAACAGCTGATCTTTCAGTTAGCAGCTGAGCAATTAACCACTGTGCCACCAGGGCTCCTAACGTGTGCATAGAGAATACAGAATATTAGGCTACCTATTCTAATAACTTTGTATACTACAAAGTTAGTCTTATTTATGTCACATAAATAAGACTAATCACAATACAACCTAAAAGCTAACTAGAAATAATTTGAGAACTGTTATGTGGAGTTTTGGAAAGCACTTTTTTCTACTTTATTAAAAATTATCTATATTCATTTCTAAACAGTTGATTATGCCCTGAAGTATAATTTGTCTTCTTCTATTTATTAAAGTGGTTGTTGTTGTTGTTGTTATATGCCGTCGAGTTGAAATCGACTCATAGCGACCCCTCCTTGGGTTTCCAAGGCAGTATTACTACAGAAGTAGATTGCCTCATCTTTCTTCCGAGGAGTGGCTGATGGATTTGAACTTCCAGCCTTCTGGTTAGCAGTCAAGTGCCTTAGGCCCTACACTACCAGAGCTCCCATTAAAGTGGTAGTCTAGAAATTTAGCTTCTCTTTTGCAAAGTTTAGTGAAATATAACAACTCTAACCACACTGAATGGAAATGATTACAAATTGAATCTCATTGTGTTAGTGACAGAAACAAGCATATATGTAAAACTAGGACAGACTTACCAATTGGTATAGTCCCTACTCAATATTGAGTCCTGGTTGCTGATGATTATTGCAAATATTTCTCAGTATAGTCTTCACTACAGGTCAACTGCCTAGTTCCTCCACCTGCATCTGAGATATTCATGCAGTTATTACTTCTTGTTGCTGTGTGTGGTTGAGTCGATTATGACTCACTGTGATCCTATATGCAGAGTAGAACTGATTCATAGGATTTCCTAGACTATAATCTTTACAGAAGTAGATTACCGAGGCTTTCTCCTTCAGAGCCTTTGGGGAATCTGAACCGCCAACTTTTCAATTAAGCTAAATGCTTAACCATTTCACCAGCAGGGTTCCTTTATTTATTACTACCAATATTTAAATGTAAAAAAATGAGTTTTCTTAGTAATAATTTTTTTTTAAGTTTATTACCACAGTTTTCATCTCATCTCATCCCCTTGGTTAGGTGTTCTTTGATATAAGGAACTTTATAAATACTCCAAGAGACATATTAATGCTTAATCAAAATTAATGATAACCCAAACACTACCATGGAAGTACTGTGGAATTCTACAATCCTTTCAATCCTTCCTTGGTGGTTTCTTCCTCCTAGAATCTTCCAGCTCCAAATATTTGGGTGAACATCAGAATTGTGAGTTTGTGTTTAAAATTTTTATATGAAATTGCTGATATTATTATAATTTTTTGGATCTAACATTCCCAGGTACTGTTCAAGGAGGAGACAACTTCCAGATGGAAATGTCTCAAGTGGGATTCAGCGCAGATTACTCTCCTCAAAATGTATGTGTATCAGATTACTTTTCACAGTATTGTTACTTGGCATAACATTTCTGGACAGTGGTTTTACACATAAAAAGGAGAAAACAACCAGTTAGTGAACCCAGAGGAATTGATTGTCAGATCAAAGGTCTGAGAACAGTTCATTTTCTCTATAAAGGATGCTGACTAATTTTTTCTGGATCACCAGTCTTTAGAGATGCTCATAAAAGTTTTGTCTCCCCCCTCAAAAATAAAAGTAAATGAACCCATACACTGAGACTTCTGTACACAATTTCTTGAAGTTTTTGGACATTCTCTGAAGTCCATACATGCACCACAGACTCAAGAGTCTTGGATCTTATGACAATCATTGGAATGAGTTGTGATCTCATCCTCAAAATGGTACACATCATTTCCCTATTTGGTTTTTATTTTTTAAAAAGTAGCTTATATTTGTTATACAAAATCATATCTTGGGTATTTTTCTACAATTGAAATAGGAAATGATAAACTTAATAATAAATCCCATCCAGAAAAACCCTGCCTTCGGTGATAATTTACAGCTTTGAATATTCACATTGTGTTTTGCACTAATCCAAACTAGCCTGTCCTCCTTTTTCCACCTCAACCTTGGAAACCATTAGGAGGGGTCATTATGAGTCAAATCTGACTCCATGGCAGTGAGTTTGCTTTTGGTTTCTTAGGTACCCAGTAGTGACAGATGGTTAGTGAATTCAATTGATTGAATGTCACAGCTAGTGTAACTTTTGTAACTGTGGCCATTGACCAATAGATGAGATAGGATATAGATGCTAGACGAACATTTGAGGAGGAGACAAGAAAAAGATAAAGAAAGTTGAAAGTAGAATAGGTCAGACAAGGACCTCCCATGCTTGGGATAGCAGCAACATCCTGTTTCTCCTCCATCATCAGGACTTCCAGGGAGCTCTGGTGGTGTAGTGCCTAAGGCACTTGACTACTAACCAGAAGGCTGGCGGTTCAAACCCACCAGCCACTCCTTGGAAGGAAGATTGGGCAGTCTACTTCCACAGTGATAGCGCCTCAGAAACCCAAGGAGGGGTTGCTATGAGTTGGATCCGACTCGATGGCAGTGAGTTTGTTTTTTTATCAGGACTTCCTACTTCCCAAGCATGCCTTATACCTATCTGGCCTGTGAGCCTTTTTAAGAATACGTGAGACCATGCCTCACTTATAATCCCTAAAGGTTCATAATGGTTCAGTGTTGGCAAAATTGTACCTTTGATGGGAAATTTAAAGATGATTTATGTAATCCTCTTGTGCTATTATATAACCCTCCTGTACCACAGCTTATCATAAAATTTACCTACAGAATGTCATAACTAAATAAAGTAAAGCACAGGTAATAGAGCCCTTGGGAAGGCTCATTCTTTAGGATATATATGTTTCAATATACTTTGTTGTTGTTCTTGTTATGTGCCGTCGAGTCGGACCCGACTCATAGCGACCCCTCCTTGGGTTTCCGAGGCAGTATCACTACGGAAGTAGATTGCCCCATCTTCCTTCCGAGGAGTGGCTGGTAGATTTGAACCGCCAGCCTTCTGGTTAGCAGTCAAGTGCCTTAGTCACTATGCTACCAGAGCTCCCTCAATATACTTTATATTAATGTATTTAAAATATATTAAATATAAATATATTAAAACAATTCTGATATGTAATACATATATAATATTTACTCCTCTGTAGTTTCCTTTTCTTAAATCTAGGTAATTTATTTCAGTGTTTTGCCTATCCTGCTTTCTTATGCCTTACAAGTGGCCAGTTGTAATGATCTCCATATTTCAATTACTTTAGGATATTCTGATGCTGGGTGCAGTGGGAGCTTATGGCTGGAGTGGCACTTTTGTCCAGCAGACATCTCATGGACATTCTATCTTTCCTAAAGAAGCCTTTGAGCAAATTCTGCAAGATAGAAACCATAGTTCATATTTAGGTAAGGCCTAGAAGCCATTTGACTCAGCAAATTTCAAGTTACAAAAACTTCATAGAATTCATTTTTGTGTGTGACTTTTTCTATAGAGAGCTTACTTATATCGTCCATTTCCCTGAAAACAGCTCCATCTTGAATCTTGGGGTCAGTTCAGCAAAGACCTTCAGCTGTCATATAATTATCATATTTATTTATAACATGATCATCATATTTATTATATATAGTTATGTTGCCTCTTTGCTTCATGAAACCTTCCTAATCTCTTCTGGCTGTTCAAGCAGTTGTTATTCCTGGGGACATGACTATGGATCTTCAAAACAGAAATCATTACTAAATGCCAGTACAGTAAGAGGTAGTCTTATACTACTTGGGCTTTTAGTCTTTTTGTTCCTATAATAATAGCAGCTACTGATTTTGTATACCTGAGCTGGATGTTCTGTCTACAACTATATAAAGATTTAATCTTCCCAATTACTCATTAAGAGAAGTATTATTATCCCCTTTATATCTTTTGAGGAAAAATAATTTGCCTGAAGTTGAACAATCTTGTTGTTGTTGTTGTTGTTATGTGCCGTCAAGTTGAAGAACAATCTAGTAGGTGGCATATGCAGAATTTGAACTGGGGACTGTCTGCCTCCAAAGCTGTGTCCTTTTCACTAGATCACATTACCTTTAGGGTTTGTTTATTCATTCATTCAAGAAATATTTGTTGAATGCTAGCTATGTGTCATGGCCATGCCAGGGATTTTGTTCATGGTGACCTGATGGAGACAACTCAGATCTAGTGCGTGCTTTATAGGTAGACATCTCATCATTGCAGGTCAACACTGTACGTCAAAAAGAAAGAATAGTTCATCTTAATATCGTAATGTTCTCAATGATATATTCAGAAGAAGTAGGAACTGTGCATCACTCCTAAAAGAAAAAGACCTCTGATCATCTGCTACTACCTTTTCCTTCAAGTCTTTCAGCTGAAACATTCAATAATGCTTGCTTTGTGACACTTACCCATTTAGGTTACTCCGTGGCTGCAATTTCTACTGGAAAAAATACCCACTTTGTTGCTGGTGCTCCTCGGGCAAATTATACTGGCCAGATAGTGCTATACCATGTTAACAAGGATGGCAATGTCACAATTATTCAGCCTCACAGAGGTGACCAGGTAAATCTCATTGTTTAGCAGGTAAAATTAATTTTTAGACAGCTGGGGCAGGTTCTGTTCTGTGGCTGGCACCATAATCTGGGTTGATTTACATATTCTTTAAATATTAACTAGAATGGTGAGATTCACCATCCTCTTTTAACAGGTTAATGAGAGCTTAGCTAACTTTCTAAGGTCACAGCTTCAATAGGATTGAGCTGTCATGAAAGCCCAGCCCTATCTGGCCTCAAAACCTATGCTGTCTCATGACATTCTACTCCATATATTTGACTCCCCAAATTAACAGTGTTTTTATTATTGTTAGGTGCCGTCATGTCAGACCCGACTCATAGCAACCCCTCCTTGGGTTTCCGAAGCAGTATCACTACAGAAGTAGATTGCCCAAACTTCCAAAACATGGACATAATTTAGTCATGATAGCAGACGTCTAATCACTGTTTTGTTGGCAACCCACACTAGGGACTCAAGGGTCTGGAGGAAAAAGAAAGAAAGAAAGAAAGTAGTATAGCATTACTTGGTAATCATATCTTTAGCTATACGGATGACAAGACTTCAACTTTGTTACCTTGGACACATAATCAGGAAAAGACATTATGTTCAGTAGAGCAGGTGATCAGCAAAAACAAGGAAACAGTCATGAGATAGGTTGATACAATAGTCTTAACAATGGACTCAAACATAACAGTGGTCATGAAGATGATGCAGGATTGGGCAGTGTTTCATTCTGTAATGCGTAAGGTCATGAGTCAGAGCAATGGCAACTAACAACAAAAACTGCTTTGGAGCCTGTCAGTGTGTCCTGCTGGCTTTGATCTTTCTAAACTGCAGCTACTTGCTCCTCCACTGCTTTCTACTGATGTGTGGCAGTTTGATGGTCAGAACCAATGAATACTCCTACTCATAGCCCTGCCACCTATCCCAAAGGACTATTGCTACAGCCAAGGCCAGCTGATGGATTCTTGTTTCTTTAGTAAGCAGCTTTGACCTGTGAAATTGTAACATATTTGAAATGAGCATCACCACTCCCTAAAAACCAGCGGAAATTGGTTTCCTTCCTTAAATCAGAGAAATCACAGATTTTCCTCCTAACACTTCTCTGGGATTAAGTTGGATCCCACTGCCTCTTTGACTTACTTTTCCGGGAGTAAGAACATCTGAGTACTTGACTTGCTTCACCACAAACCAGCCATGGTGACATACTTTTCCTCATCTTCAATATTTTGAAGAAGTGAGTTGTTACTTTGAGAAAATCAATGAAATTTTTATGGAAGTTCCAAAGGGACAGGGAGGCCACATCTTCTGACCTTCTCTAACTGCACGAGAGGAAGACGGAATCACCATCAGTAGCCCAAGGCCTATTCCTGTGAGGCCAGACATGCTGTCTCCCTCCAGCCCTTTCATCAACCCTGACACCAACCGTTCCTCCTGCAGCACCCACCACCTTTCTGCTGGGTTCTATAATTCACTGCAGTGGCCACACATAACTCACAGATTATGGGGTTTAATAGGGAAGTCCCAGGCTACAATTCAAGTTCAGGAACAACGCTCAGTCTCTCTCAGCCCACCATCTCTCAGCCAACAATCTCTTATAGTCTCTCTCCTAGCAGTGTGTGACTCTCAGTGTCTCTCAGTGTCTCTCTCAGCAATGCATGTCTCTTGCATCTCTTTCCCAGCAGTGTGTTTCTCTCAGGAGCTTCTTTCAGGAGCCTGTTTCTCTCAGCAGCACATCCTTCTCAGCCAGCAATCAGAGACCTCTGCCTCTAGGAGCCCTCCCTTTGAGCCTGGCAGAGTGGCCAAACTAGCCAATCATAACATCAGAATTCTAAGCACCTGAGAGACAACAAACTTCCCAGAACATTGCTTTGTGCCACTCTCAACAGAAATACCCCAAGTGAATAACTTTAATAATTAGGAGCTCCTCAGTTGCTCACAGCAAATTCCACCATGGAGTTTCCAAAGACTTATGGCTAGAAAAGCCATACCACGTAATTTACAGCACTGCAGGAAGGAACCATTTTTTAATATGTTTCTGAATCCTTAAAAGGTACTTACAAAGTAGGCATGCATTAAACACTTGTTCAATGGGATGGACATTCAAATTCCCAACCTCTCTTCATTTCACTTTTTCTCTGCTTAGTCTTCCCATTCAGTGTCTCTTGCCACAACTCATCTTTTCCAAGTCATGCCATAGACACTTACACATTGTTCATGCTTTCCCACTACTCTCTACCTAGAAAACTCCTTTTCCTCCTTTAAAATCTATTTGAAATATTATCTTCTCTTTCTAAGCCTTCCTAACTCCCTATCTTTTGATCAGACACTATTTTGCCTCTGCTGTTATTTCAATATATTTTACAATGGAAACACAATTATCTGTTCCCCTCCCTGCCGGCCCCCTCCCTTTCTCTATAGCACACCTTATGTACCTACTGTGTTTCTCTTATGAGTATAGTTTTGGATCCAACAGCAGAAGCACCTGGAATGATTATTGAAAAATGATATTTTCTGGACTGCTCCCTAGATATTGCATCAGAATCTCTAGAAATGGGTCTCAGGAATCTGTATTTTAAAGTTACTTTCTTGGTAATTCTGTGTACCCTGAGGTTGAAGAAGCATATTTAGATAATAACACAGTCTGAAGGAAGGCACCATGTTATCTTTTATCCATATAACTTTACTAGGGAGCTCTGGTAGCACAGTGGCTAAGACACTTGCCTGCTAACCAGATGACTGGCGGTTCAAACCCACCAGCCACTCCTCGGAAGGAAGGTTGGGCAATCCTACTTCCGTAGTGATACTGCCTCGGAAACCCAAGGAGGGGTCGCTATGAGTTGGGTTTGACTCAACGGCATATAACAACAACAAAAGTGGGTAACCACTGAGCATTTATTGTTTGAATAAATATTCAATATAATAATAGTTGTATATGAATCCTAAGGAGCTGGTGACACAGTGCCTAAGGTATTTGACTGCTAACCAGAAGGCTGGCGGTTCAAACCCACCAGCCACTCCTCAGAAGGAAGATTGGGCAATCTACTTCCATGGTGATACTGCCTTGGAAACCCAAAGAGAGGTTGCTATGAGTTGGATCCAACTCGAAGGCAGTGAGTTTGGTTTTTTTGGTTTGATGACTCCTAGGACTCCTAAGGTTAATATGCTTTATTTTTCCAGATCGGTTCCTATTTTGGTAGTGTGCTGTGTCCAGTGGATGTAGACAGAGACACCATTACAGACGTACTGTTAGTAGGTGCACCAATGTACATGAATGATGTAAAGAAAGAGGAAGGACGAGTCTACCTATTTACTATTACAAAGGTAAAAAAATAAAAGTATTACTGACTGACTTTGTTTAACTTACTTTTGTATTGGTAAATAAAATTAATCTACATTTGAGAAAAATTATTTTATATTGAATGACAATTATTTTGCATATATAATGTGTACGTTTTATCAGTTTTGAGGATGTTATCATTAAATCATAATTTTAAGAATCACAATAAAAAGGGTAAATAGAATTGAATGTATAGTATGAACTATTTCCCATGTGATGCCTTTCAGTATATATTATTACTCAAATAAATCATTATTACATACATAATTTTTTTATAAATACACATGTGTGTGGGTGCATTTCCTAGGTATCTCATACAATTACTCTTTGTTTTAAAGTGATAATAAGAACAGAGCAAAACTATCTTGTTATCATTTTACACTGAAAAAGATAACTTGTACCAGGTACTTTGGAAATCTCCATATAATTCCAGATGCTTTCTGCATTAGTTTGTCAGGAAATTCCATTGCTTGGTGTAACGTTTACGTATATGTCCAGATATTGGTATTTCTAGTCCTTGAACATGAAAAACATATTCTAACATGGAAAAGCACCATTTTTCAGGTTGGAGGTTGAACTCTCTGAATTTGCACTTGAGCATAGTGACCTCAGTGAAACCAGAAAAGGAAGCCAGTATTAAAGGTGCCAGTTGACACGGAAAATTAGATGACTTCAGAGAGGATAGAATGGAAAAGGAGAAGCTGACATTGATATTAGCTGATCTTGATATAGAAATATAGCTTGATATGATTTGCTGTCCTACCTGATTTATTTAAACAAATGTAAAAATAAACCCTTGAACAGAAATCATCACAACAAATCTAAAGCAGTAAGTAATGTATAGTGTATATAGTAAGGGAATGACCTAGCCAGTTGTTTGAAAATTTCACAAATCCCCAGTTTCTTAAACATTTACTGCTTGTTAAATACTGAATTATCATTAATTGTTGAAGATGAAAAGTTACCCTATTACTTTATCAAGGAGCTCTGGTGGTGCAGTGTCTAAGGGATTTGACTGCTAACAAGAAGATTGACAGTTTAAATCCTACCAGCCACTCGGTGGAAGGAAGACAGGGCAGTCTACTTTCACAAAGATTTACCACCTCAGAAACAACTCAGTGGGGGCTGAGTGAATCCATGGCAGTGTTTTTTTTGTTTTGTTTTGTTTTTTTAAATACTTTATCAAAGCTCAGTAATAACTTTATTTCTATAACAATGTAAAAGATAAAAAAGGATCAACACTGACCCAACTTTGTGATGGAGGAGCATTGCATTCTTGTGAAGTCATGAGATATTTCTGTACTTGATTATAAAACATGAAGAAAAAAACTGTCTTTCACAAGGGCATGTCTTTTCCTTTGGGCAGAACTATTTAATGTTTCTTAAAATGAATGGGATATTAATAATTATTAATATTAGTAATCTCATTTTCCATTTTCTATACTATGATAAGTGGGCCCTGCTGATGCAGTGGTTAAAACACTTGCCTGCTAACCGAAAGATCGGCAGTTCAAACCCACCAGCTGCTCCCTGGGAGAAAGATGTGCCAGTCAGCTTCAATACAGATTTATAACCTTGGAAACCCTATGGAGCAGTTCTACTTTGTTCTATACTACGAGTTGCAATTGACATGATGGCAATGGGCTTGCTTTTCTGGTTTTTATACTATTTTTTATTATGCTGCTGTTCAGTCACTTTTAAGTAAAGGTCTGAATTAAAATACATTTTGTTTTGTTTCTACCTTAATTTTATTCAAAGTGCCCACATTTCACCAGAAAATTTTGGAAATAGGTTTGGAAATATATGAAGATATTAATATTGAAGAAAAGGGGAGACAAAGAGATAAATATTTTTATGTAGTCTGTGTAGCTATGTTAATGTGAATTGCCTCTTTTCACCTTGATTTATAAGCAAATATCTTATGACCTCATTTACTCAAATTCTCATTTATAATTATCATCATGAGCAGAGAATTTTGTATTCAAAGTTTAAAACCCTATCCACTTTTAACATCTTGCAAATTGGTGTGGGCATCATTTACAGTAAATTTTAATTACTAAAGTTGTAAGGATTGCTTTAGTCATCTTTTTTTCCCTTTGAAAGGGCATTTTGAATCATCACCAATTTCTTGAAGGCCCTGAGGGTTTTGAAAATGCTCGGTTTGGCTCAGCAATCGCAGCCCTTTCAGACATCAATATGGATGGCTTCAATGATGTGATAGTTGGTTCACCTTTAGAGAATGAGAACTCTGGAGCTGTGTATATCTACAATGGTCATCAGAGTACCATTCGCACGAAGTATTCCCAGGTAATCCATGAGCTTCATGGTAATGTACTAATGTGTGTGTATCGCCATGTTGGAGCTACAGTATGTTTTAGGCAAATCATCCAATGCACCCTTATTATTTTATAAATTTATTGTATTTATGCAACAAATATTAAATGAGCCTTGACTATACGCAGGCACTATTCTAGACTGTGGGGATGTTGTAAAGAACAAGACAAAAAAAATCCTACCTTTCATGGACCTTATATTCTAGTGAGGGGGACAGGTGAAAAATAAGACAAGATACAGGAGCTTTCATGGTGTAGTGCCTAACACATTTGATGGCTAACCAGAAGGCTGGTGGTTCGAACCCACCAGCCACTCCTTGGAAGGCAGACTGGGCAATCTACATCCACAGAGATTGTTGTTGTTGTTGTTATGTGCCATTGAGTCAGACCCGATTCATAGCGACCCCTCCTTGGGTTTCTGAGGCAGTATCACTATGGAAGTAGATTGCCCCATCTTCCTTCCGAGGAGTGGCTGGTGGGTTTGAACC